GAGAGAAAGAAAAGAGAGAAAGAAAAGAGAGAAAGAAAAGAGAGAATGAGAGAACGAGAGAACGACAGAAAGACAGAACGACAGAAAGACAGAAAGGAGCTAGTTTGAGATGCGGTTGATGGTAGCTGCGATGGGACCTCTGGCGATGCATCGTGAAGATGTGCGGGCTCTGTTTAGGGAGATTAGGACGTATGTTGATGTATATATGCATATATATATATATATCGTGACATAGGGGGGGTGTGGGAGAGGTGTGTTTTTTCGGTGGTGGGTAGGAAGTAGGAATGGTAAAGGGGAGTGGAGAGAAGAGATCCATCCACGTACATGCTGCACGCCGGGGTGAGAGCGAGGTCGGCAAAGTACTCGACGTAGTCGTATGGTGGCGGGTAGTGGGACGGGTCGGAGAAGTAGTGGGCGAGGGCCAGGGAGAAGTTTGCGCCCGTGGTGAACTGGGTGAACTTCCAGATGGAGAAGCTGGTGGTGGGGGCCGCGCCTGGGTGGAGGGGGTGGGGGTTAGTGTTTGTTTGTGGTGGAGGAGGGGTGGGTGTTTGGGTTGGGCGATAGGGATGGAGATGGAGACGGAGATGGAGGTGAGGGTGAGGGTGAGTTCGAAGATAGGGCGGGCCTGGATCAAGAACCTACAGTACACGTAATTCCGGGGGAAGTGGTTACCCTGGGCATCCTGCAACCAGGAGTCGCCGCAGGAGATACTGCTGTTGGCATTGGGATCGGCGAAGTGAACTGCGACTCGCATTAGTGAAGTCTCCTCGCGGAGGATGAGATGTTTCGGACGAGAGATTTGAGATCGTCGGGAAACTTACATGACAGAGTGTGGTTCGAAGTCTGACGACGGCGGTTGCTGACCTCGGTGTAGACAACGTCAGAGACGAGGAAGTCCTTGATCTCAAAGAAACCAACGGCATGGCTGGCGAACTCGGTGGACACGCGGGCTTGGGACAGCAAGGCAAAGCCAAGGACCAGGAGGAGTTGGAGGAGTTGGAGGACGTGCATCTTGTCGACGATGACGATGACGATTGCGGGTGTAGTTTGAAAGAGGTGTTTATTTAGCAAGACACTATATGCCCAGAGTATAAGCTTCGAGTGAGGGAGAAGGGACGAAGTCGTTGAAGTGTTTGAGGTTGATGTAGGAAGAAGATATATTTCTATAGAGAGCGTCCTTATATAGTTCCAAGCTTCTCAACAACGTGCGACCCGTACTCAGTTAAGGACCAGTGAGGAAGCCATCCACCCAGCCTATAGAACGAAGGTAAACGTTCAATACAGCGAGAGCAGATAAGTAAGAGCGGGCGGTGAATAGGTAGATAAGTCAACAACTGGGGATTTTCTCCAACACATTTCAATAACTTGGACACGGGATCGAAGGGTACTTGCACGAGGTATCCACAAACACGAGATGTTTCAACCAAAGCAAAGGGAGGTGGCAGCTTGTATACGTGCTCATGGGAAATGGATGCAGTATCACCGTCACGGCGTCTGGGGTCCATGATATAGAGCCTGCATTCAGCCCTTGGACTTTAGCCTTTTGCTACATCGCGCCAGCTACATATGCAAAGGTCCTGTACCTGAAGATCATCGGGCCTTTACCTGGACGACTGTTCGTCCCATAAGTCGCATACGTGGGGTGATGATGGACTGCCGGTCAATAATAGGATGTCGTAGGTGGAGGTCAAACGTTGACCTATCTTTTGCGGCTTGCGATCACCGGGTGCCGAGGAATGAGGAATCCAAAACTGCCGGTGCCAAGATATCAAGTAAGGACACCGAGCATCAGGGTACAACATCCAATGCTCCTAGAATCCTGGATGGAAGTGGTCTTGAATGGAAGGATGTGGATAGAATAAAATCGTAGTCGAAGGACTAGAAAATTATTTGGGTTTCTCTCTGACGATTGAGAAGCTGATAGCAGGATGATAAGTAGAGGTTGCTCACATACTAGGTAGATATCGTCAGTACATAATCATCTATAGAGCCAATTTCCAGCATTTGGTTTCTCGAGAATGTCTGCTAGTGGGTACTGCAGAGCATCCAAGTTATTCCACCGCTTATTGAAATTTGCATTTTCAGTTTCTGGATAGCCGCACTCGCATGACGCTTGCGAGAAACCGGGTGTGACTTGGAATTCCGCTGGTCACAAAGCATGGCAGAATGCATGGTGGGAACATGCTGTACGAATACCTATGCCTATGCCTATGCGTTGGCAACAAACGGGGGAGGTCTGATGGTTCATAAGAAGGTCAGCTGGCTTGGCTCTGCAGAGCAGCGACGTGTCTGAAGTTGTTTATTGCTCCGAGGAGAGCGGAGGCTTTCCCGCAGTACGTACGAGCTGCTGACTTTCCAGGTTTCTCTGTTGTAGGCCTCGAATGAGGTCGAATTCTCGCTTGCTATGGCGAGAATATAGCAGGCGAAGAGCGGCTTTCATGGGAAGAGTATCTCCTCAGACTCTGGTACTCTACTACTTATTCCACGCAGCAATAAGAATATCCCTAGAAGGCAAGGTCCAGTCGTGTTCTAACCGTCTTGAAAATCAAGGAAGACCGGCATCTCTCAACGTGGGATGTAGGGAAACTGCATCTCCACCAGGTTCAAGATGGGAATGCTGCATGCAAAGTACCTTCCGTCCACCCGCATTCGCATTTCCGTGTACAGCAGGTGTCAGCAGGGTGGCAAATGTGCATTCTGTGTAGTGTGCTCTCTGAATTCCTACCAAGCAGGCGGACGAATCGCCGTCTAGTGAGGTGGGTGAAACGGATAAGCAGCTGGTTGAACTTGACGGCGACTTGGTCTCTTCTTTGAGGGTGACAGCGGGCTTTTGCCTTATGCGGAGACGCATAAAGGTTGGAAACCAATTAACAGGAAATTCAAATGCGGGCGAAAATCGATCGATTGGGTCAGTGTTGAATTTGATGGTATGGATGGAGTTGCAAAGGTGTGTGTGATGAATTGTTTGGATGATGAATTATTTGGATGATGAATTATCTGGACGATGAACTGTTTAGGTAATGGATTGTTTTGAGGCTCTCTGCTCTTCCCCTACTACTGGCCCGTGCGCCCTCGTCGCCCTATTTGCCCGAGGCTACGACAGTGCTGGATGAAGCCCGGCGAAGGGGGTACTAGGGAGAGTTAGAGTAGGTAGTTATCATAGAAACTGAGTTTGAGAATTGGACAGGATACTAATAAATAAGTATTTCAGTACATAAATAAATAGATAAAAAGAATAAAAATCAAAAGAAGAAGAAGAGGAAAAAAAAGGATATAGGCTCTATACCAAGAGCTTGCGTAAGGGACAACAAGTTCCTATGTAAAGTACAACTACATAGCAACTCGGACTCGACGGATTCACGGTACCGTAGTTGTCTACAAAGTGCAATAGTTGGCACGGACATGGATAGTATGACTTAGCTGTAATTGAAAATGCCAACTATTGCACTTTGTAGACAACTAGGTACGGGTAGGTATCGATCCCAGTGGCTTTCACCACGGGCTCTTGGCCAAGATCGAGTAAGGTAGGTAAGTGTTGCAGCAGACTGACATTTTCGTGACCAACCTTTCTTTCCGAGTTATATCGGCCTTGAGCCAGGGGCAATGCCTCGCGTTCCAGCTGTCCTTGGGGCTCTAGGTAGATTGGGAGGATGTATTTCTGTATCCATTGTGACCTCGGAGAGCGGAGAGCGGAGAGCGGAGAGCGGAGAGCGGAGAGGGATTTGGAAGGGGTGTTTCCTAGATCAAGTACGGTACTTATAAATCAGGTAATTATAAATAAAGTACTTGTTCCTATAAATAAAGTACTTATCTCTAAATAAAGTACTTACCCCTATAAATAGTCTAGTATTTATCCCTATAAATAGTATAGTAAAGTACTTAATCCATGTCTTCGTCTCACAAAAGCTCAGGCCTCGTCCAGCTATTAATATCCTTCCCACATTACGGTAGGGAGCGGCGGCAGGGGACTATTATAGTTGTCAGAGTTGTTGTAATTACCTAGGTACCGGTCGGTAGTGATGGAGTGACTGAGTGACTACAGCGCAAAGTGAAGCTTTCGAGAGAAACGATTTTTGTTTCACACATCAGTTGTCTCCCTTGCCGTAACTGTTTGTTCGTCCGGGCTCTGACAGCAGAGGGATCAGGCCAACAGTAAGTACAACCCCCACACAAAGAGCACTGCGAATGTGCGATCCTTTTTGGTGCACTGCTGCCCTGCTGCCCTGTGGCCCTGTGGCCCTGTGGCCCTGTGGCCCTGCTGCCCCTCCATCACCCTCTCCCATACAT